AGTGAAGTATGCTTCATTTTCACTTATTAAATTCATTAGTTTTCGTGGTCCCCTTGACCAATTAATATCTTTCAATTAATTAAGATTTTTAGTTGAGAGAAGAATTAAATAGAATCCTGAAGAAGGCTTTAAATACAGCCGAAAAACGAGTTGGTTTGAATTATTCGATTTTTCGTGATTTAAGTAGTGATTTTAAAAAAATGTTTAAGTTCATTGTCGCCTACCTAAACCTGGTATATTTCTTTCTTAAATTTGTACGAGCACTGAAACAAATGTCAGGCATAATAGAAAACATATTTTTTTTCAATTCTTCTAAATTTCTACATATCGTTGGATCGTACATCCGATGGATTGTTACGACACTGAAGAAGGCTCATGTCAAGAGGTCGAAAACCTTATTTACAAATAGAATTATCTCAAAGAGCATGCTGTACAACTGTTATACACACATACACAAATACATTATTGTTAGCCTACATTCTTCTTACAATCTTGTATGTTTTCATTGACTTATCGATGTTTTTCTCTTTCCGATGTGATGTTGTTTGTTTCTTTTTTTTATGGCAGAGCTATCGTGACTGATCCGTATTGATTCAATTGTTGACAATAGTTCATCAGTCCGCAACCCCAACCGTTTGCATAAATTCCCAATTTATCAAATCGAATGGATCAGACAAAGAGTTCTACGTCAATTTTGATGTTTTATTTCGAAGAGAACTTTTATTATCATATTTTTCCTGTCCAATTTCCCGCAGTTACTAAAGGAGATCCCATACCGGCTCCTAATTATAATTTTATTATTATTGTGTTCTTAATGTTCGTAATATACTGTCTTTTTATGGACGAAAAGATCCTATTTTTAAATTGTATTGCTTAATTCCGCTTTCTATCGAGTTGAATTTTCAATATTGACACATATTTCTTTTTTTATGGAAGTTAGTGCCATCTACTCATCAATTTTTCACGGATTCGTTTACTCGTTCAAAGAGAAGCCAAAATGTTACCCTTTTCTGCGCCATTTTCACAAAATCTATTTATTTTATTATATCCAATCTTTTTTCTTCTTTCTATAGTACGCAATTTCTACCTAGGGGTTCTTATTTCGGATTGAATCCATTCACTTTCTCTATGTGAAGCCGAGGAATGGCACCCTTCAGCCGCTTATACTGTGTTTTTTATATTCGTAACAACAATTTTTAGAACGAACAGGTTTTTGCCACAATTTCAGAACTACATTTTCACTCGTTGGATTTCTTGCGAGTTACAGGTTCGTTAAGGCTTGATACACGAGAAAACTTGATTCGACCTGCAAAAATTTTTTAAGTTAAATGCTTTAAACCCAGTAAAAAATTTCAAGCGAACAGTTTCATTCTATGCAAGAAATGGCGTAGTTTAATAACAAAATTGCATTCTTTTGACTGAAAAACCTTTGGTAAAAAAAACTTACTAAAAACAAGTTTGTTGTTTAATTAAAAAATACCATTGTTCAAAGGAAGCGCTCTCATTTGCAATAAAAATTATTTAAAATTCTATGTCCCGTTGAATATTTCATTTTTATTTTATTTTTTCAAATGCTACAAAAGAATTCTTTTTGCGACGTGATATGCTTTGTGAGATTAGCACAGAGGGTTCAAAGTAAAATAAACCGTCAAATTAAACAGTTTTTCATGTCTAGCGCGTTATCATTACCGACATTTCTTTCCATATTTCAATCGTCACGTTCAATATACACTTAAAGATAATTTAAAAAAAAGTATAATTTGCATGTGCATCAGAAAAATGTTTTCTTTATATTTTTTAACGTTTTAATTGTTTTTATTGCTAATAATTTTTTAACTGTCTTAAAATCAATGTAAAGAATGTTATTTGTTATTTGACGAGCCGGTAGCCGGTATTAAGTCGGATAAAGCAGTGATTCCGCCTATAAAAGCATCTTGAGTTTATTGAGTAAACACAAGTAAATTCTGTAAAAATAACTAGACTCAATTCTTAATTAAGATAAAGATAGAGATCCGTTATGCTAATTGTAATAATTATCGTGAGGTTAGGGGCCTTGCCCGCTTATCTGGCTTGTTTGGAGCTTTGCTTTGAGGAAGCAACTATAAGGTAGATTGAACCAGCAATTCTAGCAGCTAGGAATGCTCTGCATTATTTGCTTTGTAATACGAATCTGGAGGCCGAAATCTAATTATGGATGTTATAGCCCGTCATAGTCTATTTAGCTAGTGCATTAAACTGTTGGATTTGCAGTTATACTTTTGAAATATCGTAAAACATTAAATAATAGTTAAATCTTAATGTATTCCCTTTTGTGTGGTGTTTAGTGTTTTATGATTGATTATAAATCCCTGAAGATGATCAAAATAAAGATCGAAACGTTGGCACGATAAAGAAAATTTTCTGAAACCTACGTCACACAGCCCACATCTCACGATCTCCGAATAATCATATTGCGTTTTGTTTAACATATAACAACATTCAAATTGGAGCGCGAGTGCACGAGAGTTCGCTTGATGCGCGGCGGCTCCGGCAGACGAGGAACGCGTGGCGACGAGAAAGGTGGCTTGTCTTTTTTTGTGGTTTGCGCTCTCGTTATTTTTCCCCGGGGACGACAAGTGGACGTTTTCTGGATTCAGCAGCCTTTTTTACGGAGGGAAGAGATCTTTCTGGACGTCGGACTGCGTAAACCGGCTTCAAACGAGTTCGACAACTATTTGCCTTGGACTTTCAACGAGCTTCAGGGCAATCACTTGTCCAGAGAACAGTTATTTTCATTTGTTCACTTTTGTCAATTGATTTTCTTTATTATTGCCGGCACAATGTTTTTTTGTTTTCTTAATTTTTTATAAAAAGGCCTTAATCATTAGTGTTCATTTTTAAATATAGAAAAGATACTTATTTGTATTATTTTATGTTAATTTAAAAAAAGGGAATTTATTCTGTTTTGTTCATTTTTATTTTTTCAAAAAATAGAAATAAAAGGTGTTCATTTGTATTTTATTGCTGTGGTTATTTTTATTTCATCTCAAAAGGCCTGAAACAACTGTCCTGATCCCACCACGACAATTTTATAAGATTTTTTATTTTTATTTTTATTTTAAATATATATTGTATTTTTATAAACTGAATATTAGAATTTTAGTTTATCTACTTAGTTTTCATATGAATACAGAGAGCCAGTACCAAACTCAAATGACTGCAGATTGAAAAACAACTTAACCGAATGCCAGCGTTCTTAAAATTAAAAGTTTTGTGTGGTAATTAGTGACCGTTAGTCAATAATTTTCGAAAATCGTGAGATGCGGTCGGGTGTGATGTAGGTTTCAGAAAAACATTTTCTTTATCGTGCCAACGTTTTGATCGTTATTGAGATCATCTTCAGGGCCTGGGATTTACAAACATTGTTTAAATTTAACAAATATGTGTAGGATGTGGAAAAAAGTGAATTTATGCAATGTGAAAAACATTTTTTTTGTATTCGATCAAAGTATTTCTACTCACTCAAAGTGTAATGAGTAGAAATACTTTGAATGAATATAAAAATATATTTTTTGGAGTGTGTAAATTCACTTTTTTTCCACATCGATTTTCGAATAATTAAAAGTTTTTGAAATTTTAACGAATATTCAACTACAAAGTTTGACCAAATGAAAGATATCGATACGAATTAATATTAAAGCTCTTAATAATTGAATTTACAGTTAAAAGACAATAGATTTTCGTACTGACATAGAAAAAAAATTATATGAAAAATTAACAGTAGTAGAAATTTACGATTAAAAATGGAGCACGATTGTTAACTTTATATATAATACGTTATATTTCCGGGTCCCATTGACCAAATAACTTCTTTCCATTAATTAATCATTGTATTAATATTGGTAGAAGGTTGGTTGAAACATTGTATTAGGTATTGGTTCAAATGAAAAAGTGTCACAAGCGGGATTCGAACCCACGATCATCGGCTAGATACGCCGCTGCTCTACCACTTAAGCTATTGTGACTTCGATCCACGTTCAGAAAAAATCGATCAAAAGCACAAATAATACCCGACAACGAAAATAACCAACATCACATACCCGCTCACTAACGCTCCTTGCGACACCCGACGGGCCGAACGGCATACAAAATATTCTTCTACAAATTGACAGTGATTCCTCACTGAAGATGGCACAATACAGAAATGCATTTGAGTTCACCAACAAACTCCCGAGTCAAGACGTATCCAATAAAGACCCTTCGCAAATGCAGCAGGTTTTTTCTTAATTTAACTATATTCATACTAAAAAATAAAAACGGGTAGATCTACTCGAAGACTGTGAGACCTGCATGTAAAAACCTAAACCAACGATACCCGGGACTTTGATCAGATACAATTATTGTTTTTTTTTTCAATTTCCTTTGGATGTTTGTTATTTTCGCCAATTTTGAGTTGTCGGTGTACCAGTCATGCAACCATGCAAGTGGTGAGTTTACGTTTCGATATCTGCATTTAGATCAAGGATACATTCAATTTTAAGATCTCTACCATTAATTTAATTACACTTGGTTAATCTGTAAAAACACGGAAAGTCCGAGTACGTTTGTTTTCCCCAACAGTTTCCAATTTTGTGTGTAACGATGAAAGTAGTAGGTTTGTGTTTGGATAAGTGGATTTGGAACTTTGGACTCATTTAATCTGATTTCACTTGGAGAGACAATGGTAGCATTGGGACCAACCCCACATCGAAAATAACCGACATTACAACCGACCCATAAACATTATGATCACGCCCACTAACACAAACGCCCCTAGCGACAACCGACGGACCGAACGATATAAAAACCCTACTCCTAAACATTTACAGTGATTTCTCATTGAAGATAGCGCAATACGCGTTTGAGTTAACCAATAAAAAGCATTTTATGTGAAGAACTGTCCTTTTCGACTGTTGACTTCATACTCTATTTTTATTATAAAAGTAATTCTTATAATTAAGTTATCTTTTTTTGTACAATACCTGATATCCTTATATTAGCTGGAGAACTGGACTCTAGAAGTTTTGTCAGCCTGTGCCTCGTCCGACACCTGTACTGGGCGAACTGGTCGGAATATTCGACGTTGTGCACCAACAGCTCGCCAGAAGGGAGCACGTGGTATTTACCATCTGGAACAAACAATTAATTTAAAGTATAAATATCGCTGTAGATGTTTTAACAACATAGATTTTTTTAAACAAGAATTGCATTAAAAAAAAATATGAATAAATAAAATAATAATAATAAAAATATTTCATCTATTTCTCAATGAAGATCTCTCTGCTATTATTGTTATTTTGTATTTTGCAATTCAGCTTATAAAATTTTGATTATTACTGGCATCCCTTTTATATTAATTGAAATAGGAAGAGGCCTGTAATTGACCGTCATTTTATACCGAAATTATTCCCTGGCTGAATCATTAATTTCAGATTTCAAAATTAATCTCCCTTGGTGCCAGTTATTAAAATCATTCCGACTAATCTATATTAAAATAAGGAGGATTTTGATATCTTGGGGATATTGCGGTAATAATAACTCTACCGGTCATAATGATTTTTTAAGGATTATTTCAAACGCGGAAATAAAAACGAATTAAACGAACGGACTCCAAGTTTAATTGGATTATTTCTGGTTTTTAATATTTTTTATTCATTTATTTCATATCAAGAGCCAAGGGAGAGACGTGGTAGCTTCCATTTGTTTTTATTTGATTACTTACTTTTTAATTAGTTCAACTGAGACTTTAAGGTTTTTATTTTATTCAATTATTTTGATAAGACAAATAATAAAATAAACTTTTTTTATTACAAGCAAATTGATTAGAAATATCCATCCTGTTTCCTACTTTTTTATATGTAAGTTAGTAGATGTAGATGTATTAATGTTCACTGTGCCCTTTAAGAGCTGTTGCATCCGCCATCTTGGAGCATACTGTTTTTTTCAGCTTCATGTAAGTTTTTTTTTTTTATTATTGTACTTTATCCCTGGCTCCATATTTTGGGAGAGGGCTCGCAACACAAATGTGCACTTGAGCCCCCGTTGTACCGGTGTTCTTCCATCGAAGAAACTCATTTTTGAAGGGGGTTGGAACCAAATTAAGGGTCGCTGAGATCCGATCTTGCCATTTCCATTGATGAGTGTCGTGTCAATTTCTTTGAATTGCGGCCACCGGTCCCCTAAGGCGTCAGAAAAAGTCCAGAGGTGACGGTGGGGATCGAACCCACGACCGCGGGATCTACTAGCCGAGAGTCTCACGCCTTAACCACTCGGCTACCGCGGCCCGCCTCATGTAAGTTACTATGTATCATTTCAACCGAATATACTATTTTGTGATCACGTTGCGTTTTACAAAATGTTATGCTTAATTAATTAAAGTTTTTATTCGAGATAAAAAAGTCAGTGTCACAACGGGATTCGAACCCACGACCTTCGGCTTGATACGCCGCTGCTCTACCACTTGAGCTATGGTGACTTTGATCCACTCGGACACTAACTTCCCATCTCAACCTCACCTTCTGAATTTTCCCTCCTTTTTGCCATTTTTCAAATGTCATGTAATCTATTTGATTCTTAGCGATAAATGAAATGGCCACGGAGAGCTTTAGTGAAGTATACTTCATTTTAACTCATTAATTCTTCAGAAATCGTGAGATGCGGTCTGTCGCAGATTAATTATCGAATTAATTTCTGAATAATTGTCGAGTAACGGTCAATAATCACCACACATTTTAACTCATTAAATTCACTAGATTTCGTGTTCCGCTTGACCAATTAATATCATTCAATTAAATAAGGTATTTAGTTGAGATAATAAAGTCAGTGTCACGAGCAGGATTCGAACCCACGATCTTCGGCTAGATACGCCGCTGCTCTACCACTTGAGCTATGGGGACCTCGATCGATTCGGACAATAACTTACCATCTCAACCCCACCTTTTGAATTTTACTTCCTTTTTGCCATTTTTGCCTTTTTGCCATTTTTTAAAAGTCGTGTAATATATTTGATTCTCGGCGGAAGGAAGTGGCCATGGAGAGGTTTAGTGAATGTATACTACATTATAAGTTATTAAATTCACTAGTTTTCGTGGTCCGCTTGACCAATTAATATCTTTCAATTATTTAAGATTTTTATAGTGGATTTTTAGTGGATCGAAGTCACGATAGCTCAAGTGGTAGAGCAGCGGCGTATCTAGCCGAAGATCGTGAGTTCGAATCCTGCTTGTGACACTGACTTTTTCATCTCAACTAAAAACCTTAATTAATTGGAAGATATTAATTGGTCAAGCGGACAACGAAAACTAGTGAAGTTATGCTTAATAGTAAATATTTGATATATCCTCATTAACATTTATGATTTACTCAATTTGCTATGACAGTAATAAATTTTTATTGAAATATGTTATATAGTAAATATCGATCTACTTTGTTGGTTCACATAAAGAAGAAAATAGAGGACGTGCGTTCGTTCCCATACGACTTGTCAATATGATGACCATGTAAAATTTTTATGCGATACTATAAATATTTACGTTTTGTAAACACCTCGTTATTTTTGTTCACATGCGGAAAAGTGCGGGTTTCGAAAGAGATGATAAAAGTTCATATCCTACGATAATCAGGTAAGGTTGAAGTTAGAAAATGGGTGTTAAAAGGAAACTTTTCCTTGCAGCTGTATTGTGGGTGAAAAGACTTTAAGGTTGCCCTAGCGCGTCCTGTTTCGGCCTCAGGCCTTTGTGTTGTTAAGTCCTCGAAGGGACTTTGCTAACTCGGTAACTAAGTGTCGTTAAAACACCCTATGACGCTTGCCAGTTTGAACATTTCTAAATTCAATTTCTACGGTTCAAAGTGTAAAATATACGTTTAACATTTTTATGCAGAACAGAAGATGTTTTAGCATTATTTAAAATCGCAATTTTATTTTATATTAATAGGTCGATTTTAAGTTAGCATTCTTTCCACGAAACTTTTTTTAAAAAGCAATATTTCGAGTAAATTGCTCAATTTTTCAAACAAGGTCGATTTGAAGCAATTTTCAGTTTCTATTGTTAAAAGTTTTCTTTTAAATTCTCGTTGGGCCCGCATTCTCTATTTCCGGCACTTTTAAAAACTTCAACGCCGCCAGCATACAACGAAGTACAAAGCTCGTTTCGGAGCTTAGCGAAAACTGGTCTTCGCTTAGGATAATCAACTTGGGCGCTCATTCTTTAATACATATAACCATTTATTAGTATTTATTTATTACATTATTAAATTTTGTCACGTAGTATTTCGAACAATTATTCCAAATATTTGTGTGAGACTAGTGAAATTTAATTATTTCTTTCTTCGTAACGTTCAAAAACACAGACCATATATTTAAAAAAAATGCTATTGTTATCCTAAATATCACTTAGGTTGGAAAATATTGTCAATAATTAATCTCTTGTCAGAAGAAATCTTTTTCTTAATCTCCAAAGTTTACAAGATTCTAAACGCTTTGATAGGGATAATCCACTGGGCCACAGTATAAATCGTGTAATTTAAAGAAAAAGCCGTAGATTGATAAGCATCATTTAAATGATAAATAACGTTATTCTACTCTTTTGGGACGTAAGACTTCAACGATATCATGGAAACTTCGCAACCCCGGCTGTAAGAGACTTGAGGGAATTATGAATGGAGATAAACTACTTCCAGAAAGAGAAATTCCCAGGAAAAGTTATACATCACTACTTACCCAATTTAAATTTTTATCTTAGTTTCCAATTCTGGTAAATTCTTCATTAGATTAATGGTTCAGACTGTCGTGAATTAAAGTCCGTGAAAATTCCACGTTTCCACAAAATGGCAAATAATTTCTTTTACAAAAAGTCGCTTGAGCCTGTTTTTTTAACTATTCTGGTTGTTTGTTTACTTTTAAGTTTGATGATTTAAGTGTTGATCTGAGAAATCCCGAACATGGTTCTATAACTGTTTTATTCTTATAATTATTCCTCCTCAACATACAAAACATAATAAAAACCAAGAGTAAAAACAAAACATAATATTTTGAAACCAATTTATTTAAATTATTTATAATCGCATATCCAATCAAATGCAAAGTTTATTTTTAAAAATATAACTAAATATGCACATATTCATGAATACGGCACAAACGTAACAGAAATGGCGCAAGAGAAAATTGGTATACTCTTGTATATGTCTAAATTTTTTATAAATTTTATCAATGTAAACATTTTCAGTCCAACATCAGATAGCAAAGAAAAAATGTAAAGCTATTATCAATGTAATATTACTTATTTTAACCAAAAACTTGGACAATTGGAAAAGATTATAGTGCATGGGTACTGTTGACATTAAAATATGGGAATAATTTTTGACAAAACAACGTAGAAAAGTAGGTTCAAGTATTTTTTAGTCAGAAATAAATTTGATCTTCCTTTTTCGTACTCATAATACTGCAGTAAAATATTTCGAATTTTTTTTCCGAAGTAGTAAATTTTTGACTTCTTTCTTTCAAAAACTTCAAAAATAACTTTAAAACGTCTCCAACTCTATCTAACTATCTCCAACATAAAATCTAAACCTTGTGGGTACAAGCTGAAAGAAAAGAAATTCCACTTTCTAATTCTTGAAATAACGATAGATTTAGGCAAAAGAAAAAGAGGGAGTGGTATAGAAAATATAAAAAGAGAGTACAGATAAGTAAAATGTAGTTTAAAAAATATTAATTTTGTAGTGACGTTATGGTCTCTTTCACTCCATTTTTCTCTCGCTCTCTCTCACTCTCTCTCTCTCTCTTTATCTCTCTCTCTCTCTCGCCATCGCTCTCTCTCAGTCTCTCTCTACCTCTATCTCTTTCTCTCGCTATCGCTCTCTCTCTCTCTCTCTCTCTCTCTCTCTCTCTCTCTTTNATTCTGTATTTGACAACCTAAGATAAAAACGAGAGACTAGCATTTTGGGATATTTAGGATATTGACATATAAAAGCACAAAGTCAGTAACCATATCGGGACGCTTGGATAGCAACAGTTTAAAACAAAATGAACCGTGAAAGTATTGTACAAAAAAAAGGGAGGCCCCAACAAAGAGGGCGGGCGATGCCTCAGCTGTTTTTTGGCACATAAACTTCCCAATTTATATATATC